TTTTTGGGTCCGTCAATATCAAAACAAAAGATGAAAAGAAAAAAGTAACATGACTGAAGTATGGGAACTTGACAGAAAACCATGTGGAGAAATCTAAATTTGCATGGATTATTTAACACAAAACAGGGGGGAATTGAACTTAACTTGACCAACTTTATTAACACAGAATTGCCGCACAACAAGGCAATCAATAAATGTTATTTTTCCCAAGATTATTTGTGAATAAACCATGTAAAGAACCAAATTAATATAGCAACCAAGAAACAAAAGAAACAAAGGTATACAAAAAAATGAGATTCAAGATCTAAATTCTTCATATTTCAAAAAAAAAAACACACCTGAACGTGAGAAAGCCAATTTATTTATTTGCTGCAAACTTCAAAATACAAGATTTCTTCCTTCCTTTGCTTCACACTCTCTTAGCCAACTCTTGGATTTCTTCCTCTTTTCCCTCAATTTATTTAATGAATCCTAGAAGCCAAAAGCCCCCCCCCCCTTTTTATACAGAAACAAAGAGAACCCTAATCCTTTTCTAATTCTAAATTCTAATCTCAATCCCCAAAATTACAGATAATGATCTAGCCCTATTTGAAATTGGAATTCTAAAACTAATTTATTCCTTTGCACATCTTCCCTCTTTCAAAGCTAGATTCATACCTTTTAAAGATCAGGACTCCCAATTTGAATCAACTTCGCAAACTTCTTCTCCAGCTCTTGATAAGGACTTCAAATCCGGATATTCCTTCATATTGATGTAGTAACCTATCTTGAATCGAGTAGATTTAGGGATAAATTGAAGGAATTTGGGAATTTTGGGAGAGTGGCTAATGGCAAGAAGAAGAATTATGAAAGTTAGGGCTAGGTTTCATCTAAACCTAGCCCCCCCCCCTTTTTATTTTTTCAACCTTTAAGCAAAATGACATTGTTTTGCTAACTCTTCCCCTTAGCCCTATAGGTTTCTTGTTATTACAAAAGTAGTGCATAGATTTCTAACCTTATCACTTTGTCTCTCAAAAAAAAAAATTGGGTTATGACAGTTGCCCTCTCTTTACTTTTCTTTTGCAAAAAAGAAAAGTAAAGAATAAAAGAATAACCCAATTAGAAAAGAATAATAGGAAAGATCTCATCTTCTTTCCTGAGGTGCAATCTAAGAAGCGACTTATAAGATGTGGTCTTCATCTTCTTCTTCCTGAGATGCGGTCTTCATCTAGGATGTGGCTTCTAAGATGTGGTCTTCATGTTATTTTTTGTGAGATGTAGTCTTCATCTCTTCTTCTTCTTGAGATGCGATCTTCATCTAGAATGTGACTTTTAAGATATGGTCTTCATCTTTTCTTTTGTGAGATGCGGTCTTCATTTCTCCTTCTTCTTGAGATGTAGTCTTCATCTAGGATGTGACTTTTAAGATGCGGTCTTCATCTTATCTTTTACGAGATGCGGTCTTCATCTCTCTTTCTTCTTGAGATGCGGTCTTCATCTCTCTTTCTTCCTGAGATGCGGTATTTATCTTATTTTTTTGTGAGATGTGGTCTTCATCTCTCCTTCTCCCTTAGATGCAGTCTTCATCTAGTATGTGACTTCTAAGATGCGATCTTCATCTTATCCTTTGCGAGATGCAGTCTTCATTTAGGATGTGGCTTTTAAGCTTATTTTTTTGTGAGATGCGGTCTTCATCTCTTCTTCTTCCTCAGATGTGGTCTTCATCTAGGATGTGACTTCTTAGATGTTATCTTCATCTTATCTTTGGCAAGATGCGGTCTTCATCTCCTTTTCTTCCTGAGATGTGGTCTTCATCTAAGATGTGGTCTTCATCTTATGTTTGTTGAGATGCGATCTTCATCTTATCTTTGTTGAGATACGGTCTTCATCTCCCTTTCTTCCTTAGATGTGGTCTTCATCTAGGATGTGACTTCTAAGATGTGGTTTTCATCTTATCTTTGAAGAGATGTGGTCTTCATCTCCCTTTTTCCCTGAGATGTGGTCTTTATCTAGGATGTTGTTTTCCAAGACACCAACTTTGTCTTTCTTTTCTTTGAGATGCAAACTTCATTTCTTCTTTCTAATTGGCAATGATCATTCTACTAGCTTTGATATTGTTCTGAACACTTGACAGCTTCAAATCTTTCTGTGACTATCACAAATCTTTAATGTATCAAAGGCAATATTGATTAAAACAATCATATTAAATGAAGCATCAAGCTTTTGACTATTTAACGTTCCCAATGAAAGCATGGAAATGAAAGATTAATATGGAAAGGAATTTTTGTAATTTATTAGGAAGACATGAAACAATGAATCAGGTATGAAGAAAGTTTTGATACATATAGCAACTAAAAGGTATGACAAGCTTGCTCAACAATTCTTCCTCAATAGTGATATCATTCCTTCCTTAACACATTGAAAAGACATCCCTTTTTATACTAAGGTCAATGACTCAGTCTTAGTTCCCTTTTCTGGATCACTGCCATGCTAAAAACTTCCCTCTTGATTATCTCCTTTCATTTAATCTTCTTGCTGTCATTAGCCTAAGTTGCCCTTTCAGGTTTTCAACTGAGACTTTGCCCCCACTTCTTCTTCTCTCTCTCTCTCTTTTTTTTTTGTTTTTGTGTTCATAGATAAGTAAGCTATAAACCTTCTAATAAGGACTTTAAATTGACTTGTATCGTGGTTTAGGGCTTGGCTGATTAGAAAAGATAAAATGGCTCAAAATTCCCTTTTCCCATTAAACCCCCCTCACTAACACTCTTCTCATCCAGGTTCTTGATGTGGGACAATTTAGAAAGAAAATTGTCAGGCTTTTATAAGTTAGATGATTGCTTTTTCTTTTGGCTCAAAAAGGGTTTCTAGGGATGATTTTCGTGTTCAAAGGATAAAGAAGAATAGCCTTTCGTCATGGGATTCTTTACTTACTCATCATGAACATTTTTCTTTATTTTGCCTAGATCGCCTTATTGGGTTTTCAGCTTAGCTTTTCTCTTCTTTTTGTTTTTGTTTTTTACACAATATTGTTTGATAGCATCTGCATTCACTAGATGTGGGAGATCATTACCATCAAGATAAGGTAATAATAAAGCTCCTCCTAAAAAGGCCGCCTTCACAATGTAAGGACGTCGTAGTTTGGAGCAAATTTTCCCCTTGGATCCCTCTCACTTGGTAGGATTTTCTTCAAAACAACATCTCCTTTTTGAAACCTTCGAGGCTTGACCTTTCTATTATATGCTGCAACCATTCTTTGTTGATAACATTGCCCATGGCAAAGTGCCACTAGTCTCTTCTCATCAAGGAGATTAAGATAATCCAATTGTTTTTGAATCAACTCTGATTCTTCCAATTCTGCTTCAACTAAAACCCTCAAGGATGGTATCTCAACTTCAACTGGTAAAACTGCCTTTATACCATAAACCAAAGAATAAGGTGTTGCTCTAGTAGAAGTTCGAATAGATGTTCTGTAAGTATGGAGAGCAAAAGGTAACATTTCATGCCAATCCTTATAAGTTACTATCATTTTTGCAAGGATCTTCTTGATATTTTTGTTTGCAGCTTCCACAGCTCCATTCATTTTACAAATTGATGCCATCAAAGAATTATTAAGATTCTTTGCATTATCAATAATGTTTTTTTTTTTTTTTTTCTGGAGCTTCCACAGCTCCATTCATTTTACAAATTGATGCCATCAAAGAATTATTAAGATTCTTTGTATTATCAATAATGTTTTTTTTTTTTTTTCTGGTTGACCATATCTACAGATGATCTCTCTTTGAATAAATTGTGCCACCACATTTGCATATGAAGTAGCCTCTACCCACTTGGTATAATAATCAATTGCAACCAATATAAACTGATGACCATTTGAAGCTTTTGGATTAATGGGTCTAATGACGTCAATTCCCTACATAGAAAACGGCCAAGGAACTACCATATTATGCAATGGAAATGGAGGAACTTTAATTTGATCTGCATAGACTTGACATTTGTGACATTTCCTCGCATAATCAATACAATTTATCTCTAGCTTCAACCAGAAATATCCTGCTTTGAGTATCTTTCTAGCTAGCATATGCCTATTAGCATGAGTTCCACATATTCCTTCATGAACTTCCACCATGATTCGTTTTGCCTCAATAGCATCAACACACCTTAACAAAGTCATATCTACAAAGTGCTTGTATAAGGTGTCCCCACTTAAGAAATAAGACCTGGCCATTCTTCGAATTGTCTTTTTATCAACATTAGTTGCATGATCTGGATATTGATTATGTAAGACATATTGTTTGATGTCATAGTACCAAGGTTGGCCATCTATTTCTTGCCTAATCTCCATGTAATAAGCAGGGTTCTTATGCACATCGATCATGAGTGGTTGAATTTGATCTTCATCTGATATTTGCACCATGGAAGCCAAAGTTGCTAAGGCATCTGCAAATTGATTCTTCGATCAAGGCATGTACTCAAAAGAGATAAATCTGAACCTCTTAGTTTGAGAATCAAGGTATTGGTAATAAGGCAGTAACTTCATGTCTTTTGTCTTCCATTCTCCTTTAATTTGAAATATGATTAGGGAAGAATCTCCATAAACTTCAAGATCCCTAATATTCATATCAAGAGCTGCTTGTAGACCCAAGATTCAAGCCTATATTCAGTGATGTTATTGGTGTAGGAAAAATCAAGCTTCACTAAAAACAAAAAAATGTTCTCCTTTAGGTGAGATGAGAACTGCCCTCACTCCACTTTTGTTTTGATTAGCAACTCCATCAAAATACATCTTCCAATTAGAAGTTTCACAATTGCTTTCTTCAATTGCCAAGATATCCTCATTAGGAAATTCCCAATCAACTGGTTGATAATCATTAACTGCATTTTCTGTAAGATGATCTGCAATGACTTGACCTTTTATCGCCTTTTGAGTCATGTAAATAATCTCAAATTCTGATAACATCATATGCCATCAAGCAATTCTTCCAGATAAAAAAGGCTTCTCAAATATGTATTTGATAGGATCCATTCGAGATATTAGCCATATAGTATTGGAAAGAATATAATGACGAAGCTTTTTAGCAATCTAGGCTAATGCACAACACGTCTTTTCTAGAGATGAATACCTACTTTCACAATCATTAAACTTTTTGTTGACATAATAAATAGCCCAGTCCTTTTCTACCAAAATCATCATGTTGAGCAAGAACAGCCCCCATGGAATCTTCCAGCACAGTCATATAGAGAATCAATGGTCTTCCATCCACTGGTGGCACAATAATTGGTGGATTCTTCAAATACTGCTTAATTTTGTCAAAAGCTTCAGGGCATTGATCATCCCACACACCAAGATTATTCTTCTTTAATAATTGAAAGATTGGATCACAAATAGTTGTCATCTAAGCAATGAGTCTATTGATACAATTCAACCTACCCAAGAAACTACACACCTCTTTCTATGTTTTTGGTGGAGGCATCTCTTCAATAGCTTTGATCTTGGCAGGGTCTTTCTCGATTCCTCTTCTACTAACAATAAACCCTAAGAGCTTGCCAGATGTTACCCTAAAAGTGCATTTTGCTAGATTAAGCCTTAGCTAGTGCTTCCTCAATCTTTCAAACACGATTTTAATATTCACCAAATGATCTTCATTTTCTCCAGACCTTATTCTCATGTCATGTACATAAACCTCAATGATTTTGTGGATGAGGTCATGTAACAATGTAATCATTGCTCTTTGATAAGTTGCCCCCGCATTTTTCAATCCAAATGGCATTACCTTGTAGCAAAAGGTGCCCCAAAAAGTGATAAACGTGGCTTTGATCTTGTCTTCCTCCTTCATCTTGATTTGATTATAACCAAAATAACCATCAACAAATGAGAATTTAACACTTTTGGCAGCATTGTCAACCAACAGCTGGATATGTGGCAAAGGAAAGTCATCCTTTGGGCTTGCTTTGTTCAAATCTCTACAATCCACACACATTCTGACTTTTCCATCTTTCTTTGGCACAAGCACAATGTTGGCAACGCATTGAGGATACATGCCTACTTCAATGAACCCCACATCTAGTAGCTTCTTCACTTCTTCTTTGATTTTCAACAAAGTTTCTGGCTTCATTTTTCTCAACTTTTGCTTCACAGGTGGACATTTTGGCTTTAGCAAAATAGCATGAACTGTTATCTTTGGATCTAACCCAGGCATATCTTCATAAGACCAAGCAAACACATCTTGAAACTCTTTTAACAAGTTAACAAGATTAATCTTAATCTCCTTTTTATCCTCATCTGTTCCCAAATTAACTGTTTCTATTTCGGATTGATTAGGATACAATTTCGGTTCTTCTTCTTTCAACATGTCAGTCAATTCAGGAAAAGGTTAAAATCCTTCATTATCTTCCATAGAATAAATCGATTCATCAAAACTATGTGTAACTTCAAGAATGATATCACTGTTGGTGGATTTATTATCAGCAAACCTGGAGATGGAAATTTTTGCTAGCATGAGAAAATTGAATAAAGCAAAAGGAAATGAACAATTTTGCACATGAAGAAAGGGAATGAAAATGAGAGTAACATTGTTTATTGAAATGAACTGAATGGGAACACTATTTGTCATGCCTTCAATGCTTAATAAAATATAAAAGGCTTGTTTAACAATCTCTTCTCATGGTCACAAGCTTAACCACAAGAAGATTGACACATCTTATGATTTAATGATAAGAACAGGAAGAATCTCTATTGTCTAGCTATCCAAAGATTCACTCTGAGTAGGCAGGATAACCTTGTCATCATCCATCCCTTCATCAATGACGCATATGCTTAACTTGTCCAAAGAAGTGCTCAAACCATGATCGTTTGTTGAAGCAAAAGACTTGAACAAATCAAAAGTTCCCATATCTTCATCATCTGATGCATCCTCTACAATCACCTCGTCATTATAAGCAATTGGAATCCAATCAATTCTTAAATTCTCCTTTTTGAGAGCTTCATCCGTTGGCTTTATGCCATATCCACACACAACTTCAGTAGGTTTTGGAAATGTCACACGAATATGAGGAATATGCAGTTGTTCCTCATTTGGTTTTCTTCCTTCTAACTTAGCTCGATGCCTTTCAACTTTCGTGGTTATCATCCACAACCAATCCTTCCAAGTGGGCCTATATCCCAAGCCAAACCCCACTAATGTATCAATCACCTCAATTGGTTCCTCAATTTCTTGTAGTCCAATTCCTAAGGCTTTTCCAACTTTAAAATGATTTTCCATCATTACCTTAGCAACCCTTTTACTCACTCTAGAAAGATCTGGTGTCCTTAACACCATGCATTCCGCAACATATGTGGTTGAGACAATCTCCATAGAGTGGTAAATTACTTCTTGGTTTTGAGAGTCTACTTTTACATATGGCACAGATGTTGCCTTATAGATAGCATAATCCTTTTCACCATTCACCGTAACCAAAGAATCACCCACAATATATTTCAGCTTCTGATGCAAAGTAAAAGGTACTACACCAGCCATATGAATCCAAGGCCTTCCAAGCAACATATTAAACGCAAGCTCAATATTCATGACTTGAAAAGTTATGTCAAATGTATATAGGCCAATGTTGACTGGTAATTCAATCTCCATCTACCTCTTTCCTTGTGCCATCAGAAGCACGAACTGTTGTCTTACAAGGCTTAATGTTTGACTGCTCCACCTGAAGCTAATTCAAAATTGATCGAGGAATAACGTTCAACACCAAACCATTGTCAATAAGCACTCGTGGCACATGCATGTCTTTGCAAAGAACTGAAATGTGAAGAGCCTTCCCATGCCCTCTTCCATCTTCAGGGATTTCATCATCAGTAAAGTTGATAAAATTTGGTGCCAGAATAGTCCCTATCACATTGTTGAAATTTTCCATATCAATATCCCTTGGCACATGAGCCTCATTCAAAATCTTTAACAAAGCATTTTGGTGGGTCTCTAAAGCCAGCAAGAGTTGTAAAATAGAGACCTTAACAGGAGTACGATTACGATTAAGTTGCTCTACCACACTGTACTTACTTCTCTTCAAAATGCTAAGGAAATCATTTATCTCCTGCTCTGAAACAGACTTCTTGACTTGCTCCTCATGTATTTCCTCAATAATGATTCCTTTTTGTGATTCATTCCCTTTGCATTGGCCTTCTCCATAACTACGCCCACTTCTAGTCATAAGAGAGATATCTTCAATAGGGAATTCCTGTATGGGAACATAGGTACTAGTCCTGTAATTCCAAGGAACAACCTTATAAGAATTGAAGGTTGGTTTTGATGGTGGATAAAGAGTTAAGGGTGACTGTTGAGAAAGTGAGGCTTGCTTGCTTTATTTTCAAAATGAAAGGCTTTTTTGCATTGGTTGCAATAGTTGGCCCTTTCAATATCAAAGGCTGTCTAGAAGTTGATGACATGTGATTGGTGATGGTAATTGTAGTCACCTTTTGACCTTTATCAAAGTCTCTCGATCATATTAACTATTGGACCATCATGTGTTGGTAAAGGATTTTTAGCAATGTTTGAACCAACAACTTCAGGTTCTGATGCGATTTGCAACTCCTTCGCATCTATCAAATCCTGAACACGGTGCCTTAAAGCTAGATAATTTTCAAGGTGATGCCTAACACTTCCACTATGGTGTTCACGTCTTGCCTGTGGGTTGTACCACGTTGGGAATGGTGGTTTTACTGGCATCATGGGTACAAGAATAACAAGACCAGCTGCTACCAATTGTCGAAACACTTCAGTATATGATAAAGGAAGCTTGTCAAAATGTCGTCTCGCTCTTTCTTGTTGTGGATGATTGATCCCAGAGGCATAAAGTGGCCTTGGCTGACTTGTAAAAATTGACAGTTGATAAGTTGGAGCTTGGAAAGAATTTTTGAATTGCCCTCGAAGAGGTGGCTGATTATTTCTCCTGTATGCCTCATAAACTGCGCTAATGGTGCCAATGTCATTTTCTTTCTTGCGATTTTGGGCAACTTTCCTTGGACTTGAAACCCTTGAACTACTATTTTAGTATTGTTGAAGGATATTCTTCATTGCTTGATAATCAATAATGATTCCAGACTTGATTCCATCGTCCACTTGTTCTCCCACAACAACCAACTGAGCAAAAGTGTAATTCACACAAGTTATTAACTTCTCACGATAAAGCCCTTTGGTTGACTTAATGAACAAATTACTCAATTCAAGGTCAGTCAGCAGAGGTTGAACTCAAGCAACCAATCCACTCCATCTTTGGGCAAATTCCTTAAAGCTTTTGCTTAGTTTCTCTTTTGTCTTTTGAAGATCTTTTCTACTAGGAGCTAATGATGTGTTGCATTCATATTGCTTCATAAAGTTGTGAGTCAAATCATACCAACTCTTAACTTTACTCGTCTAAAGTTGAGAACTAGGTATCTGCAGGACCCATCAGACTATCCTAAAAATAATGTATCATTAGCTTCTCATCATTGGCATAAGGAGCCATCTTTTTGCAGTACATTGTCAAGTGAGCATAAGGACAATCGGTGCCATTGTACTTATCAAATTCAAGCAATTTAAACTTATGGGGCAGTTGAATGTTTGGGGAAAAGCACAAAGATGAGATGTCAACTGGTTTATTGGTTTGGACACCTTGCATCGATTTTAGTGTTTCCTCCATCAACTGCACCTTCGCTTTAATTGCCTTGTCTTCATCTCTATGATTGGCTTGACAACTTGAGTCTTTACTTGATCATTTTCATTAGATTGAACTACAGCAACACCAGCATTTACAATAAATGGTTTTGTCCCAGAAGTTCCACTAATAGTTGGATTAGGTGGGCAAGATGACATAGGCCCTTTCTCAAGAGTTAAAGCAAATGTGGCCATAGGGAGATTTGCCATTGGAACATCTCCTTCAAACAAAGGATTTGTTGTCAAAGGTGCCTTTGTGACTAAGGTTGCTTGAAGGGATTGGAAGGAAGCCATCAATTCCTTCAAAGTATTTTCCATATTTTCAGCACGATTTTCAAGAGCTCCTCTTTCTAAATTAGCTTCATCAGCCATCTTCTTTGCAAGAACTCTAGTGAGAATAGGTGAACGAACTCTCGAAAAATTCCTTTTAGGACCAATCTTTCAACACTTGAAGAATTTAAGCATTAGTAACAAATCATAGATTCATCTAAGTAGCATTTTGAAAGAGAAGTTCACAAAGTTTCCACTAGATAAAATCAATGAGTAAACCTATCTTCTAATTATTTATTTTACACATGGATTCTTCATTATCGAGAACAACTTCAGCCATTTGCATATAAAGGGAAGGCGAAGTTAGAGCCAAGTAATTGTCATGCATGCCAAAAACATGAGGAGATTTCCCCCTTCATGACCTTTCAAATTTTTTATTAGTAAAAGAAAAATAATGAGGAGGTTGCCTCCTTCATATGTTTTCTTCTTTATATTGAGGAACTTGCTTTTTCTCAACCAATAAATTCAAGAAAATGTGAAATTTGATTTCAAACTTTATTCCTTTATTTAAAATTTTGAATATAACAACTAATAGATAACAATCATAAACTTTCATTTCTCTTTGTTTTTCCAATACTCTATTGTTTCAAGTTCACATTCACAATAATCCCTTATCATCCTTGAAAGCCTTTCCACAAAAATTGAAGCTGCATCATGTTGATTGGGTGGAATAGTAAACTCAACCTTCATTGCTTCAGAATAGATTCCATTGACCAAATAGAGCACCTTTCCTCCTCTCTTTAATTGATCAATTGTAGCTAATGCTACCCTCAACTATCCATTTAATCCTCTTACCTCTGCTTCCAATTCTCTTATCTTCTCATTTTGATAAACTTGTTGTGTTTGCATTAATGCCAATTTTTTCTTCATCAGTTCTTCATTATGTTGAACTTCCTCAAGTTATTGCAACAATTGTAGTTTATTATCAAGCAAATTCTCCACTTCATTTTCAAAGTCGTTAAGTCGATCAATCTCACTCTGCTATTGGTTTACTAAAGTCTTTAAGTCAGCACTTTGATCCTTGACTATTGAGCTCATCCTCTAACTTGTTTTTATCACGTATTAAATGATCGTTCTGCCTTTCTTCCTTTTGAATGATCCTTCTTAATTTTTTAAGAGTTTGAGCCTGCTTGTCAATTTCTTTCTTCGCCTCCTCTTTTTTCAAAAGTTATAGAATCCCTTTTCTTAACCAATTTTTGCTTCTCACCTTTCAAAAGATAAACGTCCATATTTTTCTCTCTAATTTCATTTTCATGCTTGACCCTTTGAGCATATGACAAACCCTTTAGCTCTACTATTCTTTTCTTCAAATCCACAATGATAGCTTCTTTAATAATAGGAATGTCATAAGAGATAACAATGCCTTGAAACCAAACTTTCCTCCATTCCTCAAACTCAGAAGTGACTGAAATCTTGTTCCTTGAAAAACGAACTTTACATTACGACCATACTTCTTTGGCAAAGCCAATTTGATTAATTACTTGAGTATCAAGAGAATAATCAAACCCATAGGAAGAAATACCATCTAGCAATGGTTTACTTTGCCTATCACAAAATTGTCTCATCACTAGTGCTGAACTATAGCTAATAGCTCTTTGAATGCCCAACAACGAAATCCAATTATGGCCATGTGGGGGATAAAAATATTCAATAGACTTTAACCATGTCACACACCAGACTATGTCTTCAGATTTCAAATTCAAGAATTGTTGATGCCACTGGTTAGTCATTTTCTTTTCCAATTGATTCTTCTTTTGCAAAATTCCAAACTCTCTAATTGTGGAGAAATTTACCTTTGATAAATGTGCATGTATCCATATTGTAAACAAGCTAGCAAAACATGTGAATCTACCCTTGCCATGGGCTCTTATATAATTCGCATTGTGTAAAGTTTTAACAATTAAAATAGGAGCAACATTAAGATTTGGATTCTTGATTAGCTACTCAAACATGGCTACAATAGATGAACTAATATTGTCCATATTGGTGGGCAAAATAACCATTCCATATATACCCAAGGCAACAAAATTCAAGCGATCCTCCTCAGAAAGTGAATTTAGATCAAACTTTAATTTGGAGTACATCCTATTCCAACTAACTCCCCAGACTTCATTTTTCTTCATAATGCAACTCTTTATGAACTCAAAAGAAAAGCTCAAAATCTTTGTAGCATAGATTGAAATTGCAACTTATTTAATTGAAAATTAATAGGATCTGGAACATAAATTTCTAAACTCATTGTTGGGCGACTGAACAATAACTGGAAATATTCTTCAATGGACAATTTATATAAAGTTAACAAGAGGCATTTCATGACCTAATACAATAGCAACATTATGGCTATCAAGCCATATTAACCCACAAAATGAATCTAAAAGAGATAAATCCTACTTCACATTGCACTTTTCATTGTTTCATGAGTTATCCATCTATCTAGAGGTCGGGTTCACCTCATCAAGGACAAAATGATATGCAAGTGAGATGTGTGAGTGAGTATATACATAAAATGAACATATGAAAATAACAAAAATATAAAATAATAAATAAAAACTTACAAGGTATTCCATGCCACCTACAAAACAAAAGTTAGTAATTGAAAAACCCCAAAATTAAAGTATAAATGGCTTGAACCCTCAATTTTCCCAGTGGAGTCGCCAAATTGTTGACGTGCCAAAACTGATGGAGTCGCCATCTATCCAAATGAGGTGGGATAGATCACCAAGGTGTACGAAGAAATTGACTAGGCTTCAAGGGTCAGTTAAGTGTGAGAAATGTGTTAGGCACCCCACAACTTCCATATAATATGGTTATCATATACTTTAATTTTGGGGATTTTTCAATTTTTTATGAAAAAGCAATTACAAAAAACAAAATAATAATAATAATAATAATAAACAAAAAAAATACTTTCAAAAGAATAAAAGAAAAAATCTGTCATCATTTTTTTTTTGTTTTGGTTTCTTTTTTCTTTTTTCTTTTTTCTTTTCATTTTTTGTTTCTGTTTTTCCCTTTTTCATTTCTTTTTTTTTTTTTAAATGCATTCCTACATGTAGCTAACAACAAAAGGGAAAAAGATTTGCAATTACTAGACTGATTTCACCAAAATTTTTGGGTCCGTCAACATCAAAACAAAAGATGAAAAGAAAGGAAAAAAAAAACATGACTTAAATATGGGAACTTGATAGAAAACCATGTGGAGAAATCTAACTTCGCATGGATTACTTAACACAAAACAGGGGGGAATTGAACTTAACTTGACCAACTTTATTAACATAGAATTGCCGCACAACAAGGCAATCGATAAATGTTATTTTTCCCAAGATTATTTGTGAATAAACCATGTAAATAACCAGATTAATATAGCAACCAAGAAACAAAAGAAACAAAGGAATACAGAAAAATGAGATTCAAGATCTAAATTCTTCATATTCCAAAAAAAACACACCTGAACTGGAGAAAGCCAATTTATTTATTTGCTGCAAACTTCAAAATACAAGATTTCTTCCTTCCTTTGCTTCACACTCTCTTAGCCAACTCTTGGATTTTTTCCCCTTCTCCCTCAATTTCTTCAATGATTCCTAGAAGTTGAAAGCCCCCCCTTTTTATATAAAAACAAAGAGAACCCTAATCCTTTTCTAATTCTAAATTCTAATCTCAATCCCCAAAATTATAGATAATGATCTAGCCCTATTCGAAATTGGAATTCTAAAACTGATGTATTCCTTTGCACAACGTTCCTCTTTCAAGGCTAGATTCATACCTTTTAAAGATCAGGACTCCCAATTTGAATCAACTTCGAAAACTTCTTCTCTAGTTCTTGAGAAGGACTTCAAATTCAGATATTCCTTCATATTGATGTAGTAACCTATCCTAAATCGAGTGGATTTAGGGATAAATTGAAGGAATTTGGGAATTTTGGGAGAGTGGCTAACGGTAAAGTTGGGGCTAGGGTTCATTTGAACCCAGCCTCTCCCCCTTTTTTTATTTTTTCAACCTTTAAGCAAAACGACGTCATTTTGCTAACTCTTCCCCTCAGCCCTTTAGGTTTCTTGTTTTTACAAAAGTAGTGCATAGATTTCTAACCTTATCACCTTGCCTTTGAAAAAAATTGGGTCAACGGTGATTAACTCCATACTTTGTTATACAATTAATTAGATGGTGATCAATACTTTTACAACTTTTCATTTAGTGAATAGTTAAAGCAACATAATTCCTCTCTATTATGTGATAAATCTATGTGACAACTATATATAGGATCTGTCATCTTTGCATGGGGTATGAAAGATGAGAAAAAATAATAAAGAAATATCATTTCTCCCATATTTCTCTTTGTAACTTTCTAATTCATACTTCTACTTGTTTCTTTTTGTCTTTTACAACATTTTTCTTAGAAAAATGATTATAGATCTTGTATTGAGTTAAAAAGAAAAAGTAGTACAATACAACTTTACCTCACTTAGAAACACAAATCAATTTATAATTCTCAAATGCCAACAAGTATGCCTTAAATTACAAAGTAGCCTAGAAAATAGAACAAACTAGGAAAGATGCCAACAAATATGTGAGTACATAACTATCCCCCTGCCTTTTGGGTGTTAGTTACATTGCCATAGCACCCCAACATCATAGTAAGTTGTAGCCAAACAATAAACTTTAGCTTAAGTGATCACACCTCAAGAATCTCTTGTAGAGAGAATCATGAGCCATTTTTTGACATTCATCCAAAGCTTAGGAGATTGAGGAGCCCTCTAATACCCCAACATTAAAAGATTCGAATAAAAACTTATACCATCAAGCTCATAGAATCTAAAGATTGCTGTTGACGACCACACTTAAAACATTAAGTTAACATTTTTACATTAAGTGTGAAAGATATAAGAAAATGAGTCGCCACTTGTCCAAATTATAAGGTGGGACAGGTCACTTAAAAAACAGGTTTACATAGAGATCGGGTTTCGAGGGTTCGGTTAGGAGTGAAGAACGGTATACACGCACCTCACAATCCTCCATTTAAACACGGTTGCATATTTTAACATTGAGGTTTTAATTTACCTTATTTATTATATTTATATTTGAGTCTTAATAGGTAAACTTAAGAAAAGGATAAATCAAATTGAAACCTTTTTTTTTTTAATTTTTTGAATGAGATGGACAAAATCAAAGACATGCATGCACCACAAGCACAAATAAAAATTAAAGGGACTAGTTTGATTAAATTTGAAACATGGAAGACTGATTTGATTAAATTCAAAACATGGAAGATTTATTTGGAAAAGAGTTGAGACCCGTAGACTAAATTGCTTAATTATAAACTTTTGGGTGAAATTAAAATAAAAATAATAATTTTGACTTTGACTGAAATTAAAAGAAACTAAATGATTTAAGTTAATTAATTATGCTCATTAGTCTAGTTAAATGATTAATTTAATATTAATTAAAATTGATTAATCGTATTTTTTAACCTTTAATTAAGATCATTAAATAAATCTAATAATCTCAAATTAAAATCAAATAAATATGATTAATTTATTTTAATTAAAATTAATTAATTTCATTAATCATAAATTAAACTGATTAACTTAATTAATTATTAAGGTTAAAACCCCTTTTTGGTCCCTGAACTATTATACGGACTTTCGATTTGATCCCTGAACTAAAAAAATCCCTGATTTGGTCCCTACTGTTTACCATTTTTACCTCGATTTGGTCCTTCCGTTAAAAATCCAGTGATGTGTACTGTTAACTAACAGAAACACGATGACATGTCATATAATAATCCACGTGGAAGATAATATAGTCAAAAAGTGATGACGTGGAAAAAATAATAATATAAAAAAATATTATAAAAAAATAAAATTTTAAATTTTTTTTTCTTTTTTCTTTCTCCTTCTCCTTTCCCTTTCCCTTCCTCCTTCCCCTTTCCCTTTCCCTTCTCTTTCCCCACGAAACCT